ACCAAAAAAAAAAAAAAAGTAAAGTAAATAGGAGAAGTTTGTGTCTGCAGTTCTGTTTAAAGTTTTCTATCTGTCAGCCCTGGTTTGGACCATCCTCTCTCATCTGAGTAATTTTTTTTTCAGTTGTTACTGTCTCTTTAAGACATGGGTCATGCTACATTGATTTTTAAAAAGTATTTTGTTTTACTTGTAGTTGGACACAATACCTTTAATTTATTTTTATGTGGTGCTGAGGATTGAACCTAGTGCCCCACATATGCTAGGTGAGCGCTCTACCACTTAGCCACAACCTCAACCCCTGCATTGATTTACCAGTAGTCTCTTGAGCAGAGGGATCTTGGCTGAATGGGCCACCTATAGGCATAAGCCAGTCTAGAGAGAGACAGTTTGCTGTAACACAGTCTAGCCTTTAAATGGTTTTTCTGGATCACAGTGCACAATCTTGACATTGAAGCTGGTGTGTCAGGGGTCAAGTATATGGAAGAGAGTCTGCGTGTACAGGTATTTATGCAGTTGCGTGATAAGGGGTCTGATGTCAGGAGCTAAGCTGAAGGTGCCCAACGGCACTACCTATGGTGTGCAAGGATAGCAGGACACCAGAAGAAAGGGTTACAGAAATTTAAATCTCTTCAACCCAGTGCTGGCGCTCCCAGCATGGATTCTCAGCCTGGTCCCGGGCAGCCGCAGATCATCTCACTGTGGTCCAGGACACCAGCCCTAAATTGGAAAAAAAAAAAAAAATCCTAGAAAAATTTCCTGGGATGTAGAAAATGGCTAAAGAAAACCTGGTGTCACTGTCAGGGGCAGGAGGTGCCTGGCAGGTGGCCAGGGGCTTGGTGCAGCCATTGCTACAGTGTGTGTGTGTGTGTGTGTGTGTGTGTTTTAAAGAGAGAGTGAGAGAGAGAATATTTTTGATATTTATTTTTTAGTATTTGGCGGACACAACATCTTTGTTGGTATGTGGTACTGAGGATCGAACCCGGGCCGCACACATGCCAGGCGAGCGCGCTACCACTTGAGCCACATCCCCAGCCCCAGTGGGTGTGTTTCTGATTGGCTGCTCTTCACCATCCTGCCCTGTGTGGGAGTTTTTGTATATGCCAGATTGTCTGATCCCTCTCCTGTGATGAAATTTGTTGTGGAAGTTACACACGCAGATAACATTCATAAGGATT